TTTTTTTGTATCGAAGAGGCCCGGGACCGGCCCTCCACAAGGCCGGTTCCGGTTCGAAAACTAGATTTTCCGGGCCGGTTCGGCGGGCCGGGTCAACCCGTGGCCATGTCTACTGCCAGGTGGTCCACTGCTCCTGCTGTCGGCTCTCCAAAGTCGCAAACCAGACGTCCTGGGCATCGAACCGGTCGTGGATGGAGCGGATATCTGCCCTATACTCAGTCTGGAAAGACGTCCACCATGCCGGCGGGTGCGGAGGAGGCAAATCAGACTGGTGGTCCAGAAGAAAAGGGTCGTCGTCCACAAGCATCCTGTCATGCTCGTCGGTCCCGGCCGGTTGGCGGGATGATCTCGACTGATCGGTAGTGGGAGTACTCTGGCCGAGCTTCTTGAAATAAGTCTCATATGAGTTACGGCTCTTATAGGGCTGAGGCGTGGTCCGGTCTTTGATAAGATCGGCATTCTTGAGCTCGGCAAAATTGATACACCGCATGAGAGTCTTGTCCTCGCGGTAGACGATATCGTGAAAACTGTGAGGCTCGGGGTCGACGCCAAAGTGTCGGGCGAGTGGTGTAACGAAGTGGCCCAATGTAGGGACACCACGTCGACTAAGTGCAACCTCTTGCAAGGAATTCTGAAAGAATGTCATCGAACAAACACGCACTCCCGACCGCATCGCCCACAAAAGAAATAGCTCGGTCTCGCTAACCTTGTTCGCCTCTTTCTTCCCGGTAATGTTGTAGCCAATGAACTGGTGCACCATCGCCGTGGCTAAGTCCTCAATGAGCCCGTTCGGCATCCCACCGGAGTCCCATTTAGTGTTAGGAGAAAGCTCGGCCCAACATTTTTTAGCATCATTGTCCGGGGCCTTGTTCCGGGTGCCGGTCATAGTAAAACTGCAAACCGACTCCATGACATCATTATCAACAATGTACTCCTTCCCCTTGAGCCGACAAGTAAAGAATTCATTCCTATCGGCGAGAACAAATGAGCTAAAGAACTCGAGCATTAGGTTACGGAATGAGGGACGCTCAATCTTGGCGTAGTCAGCGAGGTTAAGAATGTCAAGATACTTCATTACGTCCTCGAGGATGTCCAAATCGTTCAATAAGTTCCAATCGATGGATTTCGGCCGCACCACCTCCTTGTGGGATAACCGGGCATATATCTCGCCCTCTTTCCGGGAGTAAATGGGAAATGGGGCCCCATATTGTTCGGAAAGGTCGGGAACGTCGGCTCCCGAAGGGGAGTTCCGGGATGACGACTCGCCCGTCTTGCGCTTCTTGGATGCGCCGGCTTGACTTCCCTTCTTCTTTACCATTTTGAAGTCTTAGAGGCAATTCGTCGAGCACCTTGCGGGCGTGGATGATAGGTGTATGTGGGAGAGCACTTTGAACACGGTAGTACCCGGAGTCGGCCTCCTCACGCCTCAACAAACACACAACCGAGATCAAGAGAAGGAAATGGTACCTTTTGCACAAAAATTCGGCCGGAAAAAAAATTAAGACACGCCGGTGGTCACTTGGAGGAGACGGAGGTATGGTGAGAGGTGCTTGGATTGTTGGGGAACTTGGAGTGAAGTGGGAAGGTGATGAGGATGATGATGGAGAGGATGAGTAGTATATAGAGATTATGGAAAAAATTGAAGATGAAAAGATGAAGTGGTGATGAGGAAATGAAAGGATTTAGGGAAAGGGAAGAGGAAAATGAAAGAAAATGAGAAGAGAAACGGGTAAAAGGCATTTTTCGAATTTTTTTATTTTTTTTTTGTTCGCCGCGGCCGCGGAGTGACGTCGCGGCCGCGGGATTTTACCTCTGAAGAAACGGGGCGTTGGACAGGTTTTGTTCGCCGCGGCCGCGGGATTCCGTCTCTGTCCAAAATCGAAGGCTAGCCACATTTTGTCGCCGCGGCCGCGGACACCCTTTATATATATATATATATATATATGTACAAAATGCTCGGTTTAATGCCGGGAGCTCGGCATACTCGGGATCAATGACATATTGGGTCGTCGCGATCGACGGTCTCGACGTGCTTCTTCTCGTTTCCTCCTTCATAGTACGGTTTCACTCGTTGTCCGTTCACCACAAATATATCACCGGTAAAAGGATTCCGAAGGCGTACTGCCCCGAAAGATAAGACCTCCTCAACAACAAACGGACCACTCCAACGAGACTTAAGTTTTTCCGGAAATAAACGGAGGCGAGAGTTGAAAAGAAGAACTTGCATACCCGGTACCAATTCCTTTCGAACAATTCGAGCATCATGGAGTCGTTTGACTTTGTCCTTGTATATCTTGGAATTTTCATAAGCCTCGTTCCTCAATTCTTCGAGCTCCGAGAGTTGTAATGTCCGTTCCTTGCCCGCGGCATCAAGATCAAAATTCATCCTCTTAATCGTCCAAAAACGCCTTATGTTCGATCTCGACCGGAAGATCGCAAGCTTTCCCGTAGACGAGCCGAAACAGGCTCATCCCCAATACACCTTTAAACGCTGTACGTTGGGCCCATAGTGCGTCATCAAGTCGACTAGACCAATCCTTACGAAATGCGTTCACCGTCTTCTCGAGAATCGTCTTGATTTGCTTATTGCTCGTCTCTGCTTGGCCCGAAGTTTGGGGATGGTATGGAGTGGCCACCTTGTGCGTATTCTCGTACTTTTTCATCAACTTCTCGAACACCCGATTGCAAAAGTGCTTGCCTCCATCGCTCACGATGGCTCTCGGAAATCCAAATCTACTCAAAATGTTTCCTCGCAAAAATTTAATCACGACATTAGCATCACATGTCCGTGTGGGGATAGCCTCGACCCACTTGGACACGTAATCTACGGCGAGGAGAATATATTCGAAACCAAACGACTTAGGAAACGGTCCCATGAAATCAATGCCCCACACATCAAAAATCTCAACTTGTAAATTATTCACGAGGGGCATTTCATTCTGAGAACCAATGTTTCCAATTCGTTGACATCGATCACAAGACTTACAAAAATAATGAGCGTCCTTAAAAAGAGTTGGCCAAAATAAACCCGATTGGAGTACCTTAAAGGCGGTCTTTCGACCACTGAAGTGTCCTCCACCATGAAGCTCATGGCAAAAGGCAAGCACGTCCGATTGCTCTTCTTCGGGCACACACCTCCGAAGAATCTCATCCTTCCCGATCTTGAAAAGAAATGGATCGTCCCACACATAGTCCCTACATTTCAACACAAACCGCTTCCGTTCTTGGGAAGAGAGCTTAGACAACAAAATTCCATCCGACAAATAATTCACAATATCCGCATACCATGGAACGTTAGTCACCTCATTTACATTCTCATATGGAAATGTGTCATCAATATCAAAGGGTTCATGCAACATTAATGAGTGTTCATTAGGAACAATGCGAGACAAATGATCGGCTGCAACATTCTCACAACCTTTCATATCCTTAATTTCAACATCAAATTCTTGCAAAAGCAAAATCCAACGAATGAGTCTCGGTTTCGATTGAGTTTTACTCAAAAGATAACGGAGAGCCGCATGGTCCGAATGTACAATTACTTTAGACCCCAAAATGTAGGATCTAAATTTGTCAAGTGAAAAGATTATGGCTAATAACTCTTTCTCGGTCGTGGTATAATTCAATTGGGCGCCATTAAGGGTCAAACTAGCATAATAAATCACTCGGAGTAATTTGTCAACTCTTTGGCCCAAAACGGCTCCAACGGCAAGATTTGAAGCATCACACATAATTTCGAAAGGTAAGGACCAATCGGGAGCAACGACAATAGGTGCGGTCACAAGCTTTTCTTTCAATGTAGCAAAAGCATCTAAACATGCATCATCAAACACAAATGGCACATCATTAGCAAGCAAGCGACACAAAGGTTGGCTAATCTTCGAAAAGTCCTTAATGAAACGTCTATAGAACCCGGCATGGCCTAAGAAGCTTCTAATACCCTTAACATTCGTAGGCGGGGGAAGTTTTTCAATCACATCGATTTTTGCTTTATCAACTTCAATCCCCCGACTAGACACAACATGACCCAACACAACACCACTACGCACCATGAAATGACTCTTCTCCCAACTCAATGTCAAATTCGACTCTATGCAACGCTCAAGGACACGAGATAAATTATGGAGACATGTAGAAAATGAATCACCAAAGATAGAGAAGTCGTCCATGAATACCTGTAACCAATCCTCGAGCATGTCAGAGAAGATTGAGAACATACACCTTTGAAAGGTCCCGGGTGCATTGCAAAGTCCAAAGGGCATTCGTCGGAAGGCAAAGGTGCCGAAAGGGCATGTGAAGGTCATCTTCGGTTGATCCTCGGGTGCAATGGCCACTTGGTAGTAATCGGAAAGTCCGTCTAGGAAGCAATAGAATTGGTGGCCCGAGAGGCGGTCGAGGACTTGATCAATGAACGGCAACGGAAAATGGTCTTTCTTCGTCACGGCATTGAGTCGCCGGTAGTCTATGCACATTCTCCACCCGGTAGTGATGCGGGTGAGGATCAACTCCTTCTTGTCATTTTCGATCACGGTAATGGCCCCTTTCTTTGGCACCACATGAATCGGGCTCACCCATTTGCTATCGGCAACCGGAAAAATTAGACCCTCGGAGTAGAATTTTAGCACTTCCTTTTTCACCACTTCCATCATGTTCGGGTTGAGCCGCCGTTGGCTATCCCGGAATGGCTAAGCACCATCCTCTAGAACAATCCGGTGCATACACATGGAAGGGATAATTCCCTTGAGGTCTCCAAGGCTCCACCCAATAGCTCTTTGATTCTTCTTAAGCATCTCAATGAGCTCCCTTTTTTCGTCTCGGTCAAGCTCGGCAAAGATGATAACCGGCTTTAGCTTCTCTTCGTCTAGGAATACATACTTGAGGTGGTGTGGTAGTTCCTTGAGCTCCAAGGTGGGTTCTTGTATGCGTGGTGGGTCGGCTTCGAATAAGTCCATGGTCGGTCCATCTTCCTCTCTAAGTCGGGTGTGGTCCTCTCTTCAATAACGGGTTCATCTTCCACTAACGGGTCCATCATATCAATAAGCGCACACTCCTCAATGAAGTTCGCCAAAGGTGCCGAGGTGGCATCTCTAACGGAAATCGACACGGTCTCCCCCAAGACCGTCATCATCAAGGTCCCATTCTTCACATCAATGAGAGTGTTGGTGGTGGCCATGAAGGGCCTTCTGAGCAAAATAGTGTGGTCCTTTCCGTTCTCGTGCACGTCCCCTACATCTAAAATGACAAAATCGACGGAGACAATGAGCTTCCCCACTCAAACAATGACATCTTCTACAACTCCTTTTGGATACCGAACCGACCGGTCGGTAAGTTAGAGGCACATACGAGTTGGCCTCAAGTCCCTAAGGCCGAGCCTTTGGAATATCGAGAACGGCATAAGGTTTATCCCCGCTCCAAGGTCAAGCATCCCTGAAGCTTCCTTTCCATTCCCAAGTGCAATCTTAATAACAAACCCACCGGGATCACGTTCCTTCCTCAGAAGGTCATGATGCATAGCACTCGCCGCCTCGTATACCACAACCTTTTCCCCATCCCCGAACTTTCTTTTCTTCGTCACCAAATCCTTGAAAAATTTCACATAAGACGGCATATTCTTGATCACATCCAGGAGGGGTAGGTTGACATTGACCTTCAAGAGCATGTCGTAGAGGTCCCGAAATTGTTTTTCTTTCTTGTCATCCCGAAGGCGGCACGGGAAAGGGATGCGTGGCTTGTAGGGATTCGGGGACTTGTGTAGGATCGAGTCCTCCGTTGGCTTCTTGGAGCCCTCCTCTTTATCATCAATCACGTCCCCCGGTTGGTCGGTTGGCTTCGTGTCATCCGCATCGGGCATCTTAACATTGTTGTCGATGACTTTCCCACTCCTTAATACCATAATCGCCTTAGCTTGCTCGGGTTGGCTCGGGAGTATCTTCTTGTCGGACTCGGCCTCCAAATTTCCAACTCTTGTAGCGAGTTGGCCTATTTGCGTCTCCAATCGCTTTATGGATGCTTCGGTGTTTGTCATGAATTGGAGGATCCGATCAAGTTTGTCGTCTTGGGCGGAAGAGCTCGGGCCGGCGCCTTGGGCTTGCATATTCCCCATTGGGGCCCGTTGCGGTTGTTGTTGATGAGGGAAACTCGGTCTCATGGGTTGTTGGGGTGCGAAGTTGGGACGGTTCGGTTGTTGCATGAAGTGAGGTCAGGGTTGTTGCACATTGTTGTTGTTGGACCACGAAAAATTTGGGTGATTCCTCCACCCCGAGTTATATGTGTTCGAGTACGGGTCATTGATCAGGCGGTTTTGATATCCTTGGAGAGCATTGACATCTTCATATTGCTCCTCAAAATCTTGATCAAAGGCGGAAGGACACACTTGCGACCGGTGCCCTTGGATGCCACACGTCCCACACGTCTCCAACGCCATGGTCTGTGCCGGTTGAACACTCCTCGCATTAAGTATTCTCATTTGCTCCGCTAACTCGGCTATTTGTAAAGCTATCATGTCTTGTCTGGGAGCCACTTCATTCACCATTGCCTTCTTTCCTCGGCTACTCTTTTGAGACGAGTTAGCACTCATCGTCTCAAAAATTTCCATCATCTCTTCGGCGGTTCTTGCTCCCACATCTCCTCCGGCCGCATTGTCCACCATATATTGGAGATTTTGGTGAAGTGAATTGTAGAAGTTGTTCATCAATAAGGCCGGTGAAAAATTGTGGTGCGGGCATTGTCGTTGGAGGTCCTTGAAGAGCTCCCACGCCTCATGAAGAGGCTCATTCGGTTGTTGGGCAAAAGACACGATTTGGGACCTCAACTCTTGAGTCTTTTGATTTGGATAGTACCTCCCGATGAACTTCGAGTACACTTGCTCCCACGTAGTGAGGGAGTCGGGAGCAAGTGTCATGAACCAAGCCTTGGCTCGGTCCTTAAGTGTCTCCAGAAAGCACCTCATTTTCAATTGATCCTCGTTCAATCCGTGGAGTGGAAAGGTTTGGAGCACGTTGTAGAACTCCCGGATGAAATGGAGAGGGTCCTCATTTGGAAGGCCATAGAAAGACGGTAATTGGTTGTAATGGATCTTCTTAAGTTCATAATTCCAGGCCGTCGGTCCGAATCGAAGGCAAGAAGTCACCGGCCCAATCACCGGTTGAGCTAAATCTCGGAGAAGGTATCGCGGGGGATTGTTCACCTCCGCTTCCTCTTG